TGTGTGTGTGTGTGTGTGTGTGTGTGTGTGTGTGTGTGTGTGTGTGTGTGTGTGTGTGTGTGTATGTGTGAGTGTGAGTGTGTGTATGTGTGTGTGTGAGTGTGAGTGTGTGTATGTGTATGTGTGTGTGTGTGTGTGTGTGTGTGTGAGTGTGTGTGTGTGTATGTGTGTGTGTGTGTGTGAGTGTGAGTGTGTGTATGTGTGTGTGTGTGTATGTGTGTGTGTGACTGTGTGTGTGTGTGTGTGTCTCCAGAGTGGAAAAGGGAATATGAGCGCTGTCTGGATCTAATAGGTGGGAACATGTTAAGTTCCAGAGAAATGGACTTCAGATTTAAGCAAGAATGGAAATTGATCCTATTAATGTGTGTTGAGGCCTTGAACTCCATCCAGAGAGAGACAGAGACAGACGGAGAAAGATCTTCTGATTTCGTTCACTGCTGCCCTTCAGAAGCGACTGAAGATATGCATGTTTTCCAGAAGATAAAATGATGGAGTTTACCTCCATCATCCTGTTTCCAGAAGCTTCCGTTCTCTTGCTTCTTCATGATTGGATCATCAACACAGTTTGAAAAATATTAGTATAAAATATAGGCCTATATCATGTTCCAGTTGATAAAAAAACGTGACTTGTGTTTTGGAAAATACAGTATTCTGGACTAACAAAACCAATCCATTTTTAAGATGCTTTTTATTTTGTTAGTTATTTTGCAGATTCTATATGTACTGTACATTTACTGTATGCATTCAGCAGGCTCTGTCATCCAATGCAACTTACAAAAGAGGAACAGAAGCAGTTGTTTGATTCTGTGTGTTTGATATGCATTGAACAGATGTTGATCAGATGTCTGATGCTCGTCTTGGTTCTGCTGTATTAGATGCAGTCTTTCATCTGCTCTGATTGCTTCTTTGATCCTGGAGTGGCTCATAGGAGTCTCTCTGGTGTTTCCAGACCCACAGAAACGGGATCAGGGCTCTGTTTCCAGTCCATGAGCCACACAATCAGAAATCAGCTTGTGTGCGTCTGTTTAAAAGGACGGTTCACTCAGTCTTCATTTACTCGCCTCATGTCACTCCAAACCTCTGTGACTGACTTTGTGCACGAACACATTGAATCTTCACACGGCTCTTACAACAGTGACACAATAAAGATGCTTAACTACATGTGCTCTTCTAACAATCATTATTTGACAATATAAAAGGTAACTGTGATGAGATATCAACACAGAATTCTGATTTATTTATTTTTTCTCACAATTCTGCCTTTTTTTCTACGTTTTTTACATTTTGCAATTCTGCTTTTTGTTTGCGCCATGGAGTAAACGAGATAAAATTAGATAAAAACTCAGAAATGTGAGAACAATTTTCCAGTTGTGAGATATAAGTTCAGAATTGTAAGAAAGATTCTAAAATTGTGAGATATAAACTCTGAATTGCAAAAAAATAAATAAAGTCATTTAGCAGATGCTTTTATCCAAAATGAGGACAATAGAAGCAATCAAAATCAACAAAAGAGCTATAAAATGCAAGTGCTATGACAAGTCTTGGTTAGCCCAACTAATTAATTAATTGTAAGAAAAATTCTAAAATTGTGAGATATAAACTCATAAATGCAGTAATATAAATGTAATATAAATGAAATTTTGTCCTTTTTTGGATCTTCAGGATTGTGGTTGCTATGAACTGCTGTATTGTTGCATCTTCTTGTGTTCACAGTCAAATAATGTAATAAATCAAATAATGTATCAGTTTGGAATGACACGAGGTTGAGTAAATGATGAAAATGTTTAGTTTTGGTTTATGTAAATATAACATGAATATACATGACGTGTTTAGGGCAGATCTGATGTGGTTTCAGATGTTGTTGGGAAGGTCTTGTGTTGTGTGTCGGTGTGGGCTGCTGTATTGAGAATGTTTCTTACAAACTATCGTGTGTTTTTGGCATTCTGCTGGCGTGAATGCTTGGTGTTTTTCATTGCATCATTATGGTGTTGTCAGGGTTGGGGATAACACATCACAACTAACACAAGTTACATAATCAGATTACTTTGTTCAAGTAACTAGTAAAGGAACGCATTGCTTTTTAATTTAGAAGGAAATATCTGAGTTACTTTTTCAAATAAGTGACGCTAGTTACTTTGTTTCCATGTGTTGAGTGACAGCTCTGGTGTTGCCATGGTGACAGAAATCAGGAGTAAGTGCAGAGCGTTGTGTGTGAACATGATCTTACTGTAGTTCTAGACTAAATACCAACATGTGTTTACTCATCTCACTGCACACAAACACATTCAGTGCTCCTCACAATCAATAAAAACGGTCAAATGCAAACTCAGAATATTAGACAAACCTGCAATAATTAAATGTGTTAAATAAGACAAATATTATGCATTTAATCCCATTTTATTAACCGATATCTTTGCTACTGGCCTTCGATGATCCAATTCAACCATACTAATAAGACATGCGTGTTTCAATTTTGTTATTGCTGAATTGTGTTGAACTTATTACTTACTTGTTGAAATAAAAAGTAACTCAAAAGTAACGTAATGCATTACTTTCCATAAAAAGTAACTAAGTTACATAATTAGTTATTTTTTAGGGAGTAACGCAATATTGTAATGCATTACTTTTAACAGTAACTTCCCCCAACACTGGGTGTTGTTGTCTCTCTCTCTCGCTCTCAGAGCCCATGCATGACCCGCAGCAGCTGAAGGTGGTGGACATCAAGGCTCGTCAGGTGACGCTTCGCTGGGAGCCGCTGGGCTACAACGTGACACGCTGCCACAACTACAGCCTGATGGTGCAGTACCGCGCCAGAGGAGGAGGCAAGGAGGAGAGCAGGGAGGAGGCGGCACACGGCAGCCAGCACACCATCCACAACCTCTCGCCCTTCACCAACCTCAGCGTCAGGATGCTGCTGCGCAACCGCGAGGGAGTCAAAGAGAGCCCCGAGATCCACGTCCAGACCGAAGAAGACGGTGAGACAGAGAGAGAGCGGAATCTGTCCATCCATCCATCCATCCTCTATATCTATACATCCATCTATCTATCCATCCATCCATTCATCCTCTATATCTATCCATCTATCTATCCATCCATCCATTCATCCTCTATATCTATCCATCCATCCATTCTTCCTCTATATCTATCCATCTTTCTATCATCCATCCATCCTCTATATCTATCCATCTATCCATCCATCCATCCATCTTCTATATCTATCCATCTATCCATCTATCCATCCATCCATCTTTCTATCCATCCATCCTCTATATCTATCCATCTATCTATCCATCATCCATCCATCCTCTATATCTATCCATCTATCTATCCATCCATCCATCCTCTATATCTATCTATCCATCCATCCATCCATATTGATAGGGTTATTGTAATATACTTATTTGGTTAATATTAACAATTAAAAACAAAAAATTTTCGTAACTTGAATATTAATGGAAATAAAATAAAATATACTTTTAATTTCAGCTAGTTCAACATTTCTCATTTTAATATAGTTTAACATGATGTACTAAAATAACTAAAACTGTACAGTTAATAAACACTATATACACTATATATTATTAAAGGGGTCATATGATGCTATTTTAAAGATCATTATTTTGTGTATTTGGTGTAACAGAATATGTTGACTTGCTTTAATGTTCAAAAAACACATTATTTTTCAAATACTGTACATTATTGTAGGTCCTCTATGCCCCGCCTCTCTCAAACATGTCGTTTTCTACAAAGCCCCTCCTTTGACAAGCGCAGTCTGCTCTGATTGGCCAGCTGACCCAGTGCATTGTGATTGGCTGAACACTACAAGCATGCGTCGGAAATGTAACACCCCTTACCATAATCACAGCTTCATCTTTCAACATAAATGTAAAGACAGTAAATAATGTCATTAGTTTTACCATCAGTTCAAGCCCGAAAGGGCAACAGAGTCGTGTGACAGACACAGTGATGATGCTCGTATGTATTTGCAGTACACAAGCCTTAAGAAAGCTGACTCCACTGTGAGTGACACTGTCTCTCTTTTACGCACACACACACACACACAACGCGATACTCTACACGGCGCAAAACTCCATGTTTGAACAGTCAATAGCAAATAATTAAACTATTAAGAAAACATACTTACAGTAGCTGATTCAGAATAAGCACCAGATTGTCATAGCAAAGTCAAATTGACCCATTTTTTTTTTTAGAAATTATGCTAATATTTCCACATAGTGACGTAGATATGTGGGGGCGTGTTAGAATGAGGCATTTTTGCCCGGTCTGTATCAGCCTTCTCTTTTAAATAGAATAAATCCTTTTGTGGGAGACTTTGAGCTTTGTAACTCTGCAGATCTTATACATGCACAAATAGCTACATAACACACTACAGAAAAGGAAAAATAGAAATCGCATCATATGACCCCTTTAAAAAAAAAAAACTAAAAATGACAAAAACATGCAACGAAATAAAAAACTTGAAGGAAAATTAAAATGGAACGTATATCTTCTTATTAAAAACATGAAATAAAATTCATAAAAAATATATAGGCTAAACTTTTTTATTTAAAATTTACTAAAAATAACAAAAACAGGTCAAAATTAATATATATTTTAATTTTTTATAATAAATTGTATAATTGTTTTGTGTGTGTGTGTGTGTGTGTGTGTGTGAGTGAGTGTGTGTGTGTGTGTGTGTGTGTGTGTGTGTGTGTGTGTGTGTGTGTGTGTGTGTGTGTGTGTGTGTGTGTGTGTGT